ATAAGCACATACATTTAAACCAGTGGGTGGCCTGAAGACATAAGAGAATCCCCTGCTGTTCTCTTTAAAGTCGTTCATATTGATGCTTCCATCTCAGCCCAGAATTCTTTGGTAGAGTTAGCCAAGCGTACAGACCCCTCCTCCTTGCTTCATTTCCTCCATTCATTTAATGTACGCTTAATGAACCTACTGTATGCCAGGCACTCTCCTAGACTCTGAAGACAACAGCAAAAGTGGCAAAGTCCCTGAGCTCACAAGCTCACATTCTAGTGCAGAGACACAAGACAAGCAAATAAATGAACAATTATCAAAATGTCAGCTAAGGGTCAATGCCACAAAGATAAATACAGCAGGCTGAGAGGCAGAGAGGAGCAGGGCAGGGATGCCGTTTTGCATAGGGAAGGTCATGGAAGGCTTCTCAAGTAAGATGACATTTGTGCTGGGACTTGAACAAAGTGAAGCCATGTTGATGTCAGGAGACAGTGATCCATCCAGGCAGAGAAGTACCTGTAGCCAGGACGTACCTGCTATGCTCCAACTACAGCAAGGAAGCCAGTGAGGCCTGGTGTAGAGGGAGGAGGTGGAGAGCGGTAAAAGCAGACATCAGAGAGGTGAATGGGGCCACATTATTCCCATCTTTGCAGGCCACAGTTAAGATTTGGGATTTTTTTTCTTTTTTCTTTCTTTCTTTTTTTTTTTTTTTGAGACGGAGGCTCACTCTGTTGCCCAGGCTGGAGTGCAGTGGGCAATCTTGGCTCACTGCAACCTCTGCCTCCCGGATTCAAGCAATTCTCCTGCTTCAGCCTCCCGAGTAGCTGTGATTACAGGCCTGCGACACCACACCCGGCTAATTTTTTGTTTGTTTGTTTGTTTTAGTAGAGACCAGGTTTCACCAGGTTGGCCAGGCTGGTCTCGAATTCCTCACCTCAAGTGATCCGACCGCCTAGGTCTCCCATAGTGCTGGGATTACAGGCCTAAGCCATCATGCCCAGCCAGGATTGGGATTTTTACTTTGAGTAAGATAAGAGGGACTGAAAAACTCTGGCAGAGGAGTGACATGATACGTGCTTTAAACGGACAGTTCTAGCTCCCCTCTCCAAGCATCAAAGCGCGTCTCCAGTCTCCAGTTCCCACTCTCCATGCCAGTCTTCCAACCAGAAGCCCAGGCTGTAAACTGTATCCTCGGGCTAGAGCCTCAGCCTGGAGACCAACCAAATCCCCAGACAACGCCAGTAAGTATAAGGTATGGAGCATCACCGCTGTATAAGACAGAATTGGATTCAGCTTGAATGACAGGAAATAAATGGGTCTGGCAGTCAGGAAACATACATAACGAACACAATCAGGAAACCTCATAACTATGTTCCCGTGGGCCATATATTTCTACCACCTGAGGCTCAGTTTCCTCATCTGTGAAATGTGGGAGGTTGAACTCAAAGACCTCAGGGTACTTTCCGACTCTCAATCACTGTGGTCTCCTGACAGTTGATGTGTGCGTAAAGGCAGCTGCGTTTGGACAGTAAGGTTGTGGGGAGAATTTGGGGGCCAACTTAATTATAACAAATAGTTCACACAGATCAGGAGCTTACTACGTGTCAGGCTTTGTGCTAAACTTGTTATGTGTGATATCTCCTTTCCACTTACAAATGGAAAAAAAGGGGTGGGGGCCTTGAAGAGATTCTAGTGAAGGCTAACCCTAGTGTCCCCTCAATGAGTTCCCTCAAAGTTCTGCTGTTCATTGGATACATCTGTATGTGAATAAGCATCTACCTTGTGAAAAAGAACATTTGACAAACTTATTGCCATTGTGGTTAACTCTGAAACTATAGCTGGATTTAAATTAAAAAGACATCTTTGATTTCTGTCAAGATTATTCACAATAAATGTTTTTGTCATTCTGTTTTTTGTAAGACAAAAATCTGATTAAAATTGGTTGTGTATGTTGCTAAATATCTATGTAACATAACACACTAATTTTATTGGTACAGATTGGAACTATGAAAGGATGAACAAATTACAGCATTCAACATATGTTTAAAAATAAGAGTGGAACAATGTTGCACCTTTTGGGTGCTGATCAAATAGAAGTAAGTTAGTTATAATGTATTGAGTCTTCAAATTAATATAAAATATTTTCCAGATAGTAGGTGAAGAATGTTTTCTTCTTTTTCTCCCTCCCTTCCTGTCTTCTCCCGCTACCCCAAACCCCTTTTCTTCCTTTGTTCCCTCTTTCTCTTTCTTGCTCTCTCTCTTATGAGTTGTTCTTCTTTTTGGAAATTTGTACTAGTGAAATATTAATGAAAAATGCTCTACAGATAAAATAACTTCTTAATTGCCCAAAGACTAAAGATGAGTGTCTATTTCCAAGACTGTTAAAATTTGCAGACTTAAAGAAGAAAAGGTCATAACCCATTCCTTAAGAATTGCATTTTTTCATGACACTTTCTTTTATTGAAGATATGAAAAGATGGAAGCATATTTCCAAAGTGACTGTGTAGTTATATGAGAGCAGTTGAATGTTATTTCGACAAATTTAAGTTCACTTTATTGTGCAACATGAAATAAGTACAGTGATCATCAATTCTGAACTGGAGATAATGAGGCAATGAGTATGAACAGCTTTTAGAACATAGAGACAAAATATTTGAAATCAGGACCATTCCACGAAGTCCAAGATGTATGCTCTCCAGGGAGATAAGCTATAGCTTTCATTGTTGTTTTTAGGTTTTGTTTTTCTAGTATTGCTGTAACTGCATCTTTAAAATGCAGTGGGTTTTAAACTGTTCTGGAAAAAGTCACTATTGTTGTTTAGATATCGCTGGAAATTATGAGTGAAAGAAAACAGGACTTAGATTCATAGGAGACAGAAATCTTGAGGGGGGAACTTGGATCTTCAAATAAAAGTATAGAACATCTGACTTTCAAACAGCAAATTTGCCTGGTTTGCTTGTGAAACATCAACTTTATCAAAGTTAGGAGTTCTCTGCTGAACATATGGTTTGGAATGTCTTTCAAACTAAAACGTAGACATAAGTATTTAAAATAAAATGCAAGAAATTGTAGCTATAGTGTTAAGTAAACCAAACATTTAGTGCTGTGAATAAACTATGGTTTGGGAGAGGCAACATGATATAACTAATAGAACTGATCATGATAGAACTGACCATGTCATGCCCATGCTCAGAATGCCCCACAAGCTATCTGTCATACTTGAAATATAAAGTCCTAACATGGTGCTTTATATGTGCTTTATAATCTGACCCATGGCTCCATCTGTAACTTCATTTTTTACCATGGTTTGCCTCACCAACCTGCCTTCACTTTCAACCAAGCACTCTGTGGTCTTTGGTTGAGTTTTTGTCATTGCCACTTGACTATTAGCTTCTTGAATGAAGAGATTATCTCTCTCTCTCTTTTTTCTAATCTCTATATTACTGTGTCAGGCCTATGGCAAGTACTCAAAAAATATTTTTGAATGAATGAATGAATGAATGATTAAACAACAAAACACAAAATTACATATTTGTTGACTTAAAAGTCAATTTCTTCAGTAAGAATCATGCAATCTTGGGAAGGTTGTTCAATCTCTCAGTGTCTCCGTTTCCTCATCTCAAAAATAAAAAGGTTTCACTTTGGGAGGCCGAAGCAGGAGGATCATGAGGTCAGGAGATTGAGACCATCTGGTCAACACAGTGAAACCCCGTCTCTACTAAAATACAAAAAAAATTGTGTATATATATATTTTTGGCTCACGCCTGTAGTGGTGGTGGTGGCCCATGCCTGTAGTCCCAGGTACTCAGAGGGCTGAGGCAGGGGAATCACTTGAATCCAGGAGTCAGATGTTGCAGTGAGCTGAGATCGTGCCACTGCACTCCAGCCTGGCTACAGAGCAAGACTCCGTCTCAAAAAAATAAAATAAATAAATAAATAAATAAAAGCTTTAACAAGGATAGTAAACTCTTTCTTTTCAATAATTAATAATAAAAGATGTGTTTACAAAACGTTATGTTTTAAAGATAATGGAACACCATTTTCTGGCTGTACGTGTGCCTAACATCAGTTAACAATACTACTTAAAAGCCCTGGCGCATGAGAACCTGGATGGATGGATCATCTGTGTTTTCATTTTGAAATTTGTCTTGAATTAGTGATACGTATGTATATATCCACCAGTCCATGTCTTTGTATTGTTAAAGTGTATTTCATTTTCTGTCACTGGATATAAAAAAGATGGACACCCAACATTGTAATTTTTGCCATCTACATTTTGTGGTTCTCATGTAGTGACAGGAACTGGTTGGAGTAATGTGGGCTTCAAAGCAAGACTGAAATGCAGTGAAATGCTGAAAGCTAGATTTTTAAATAGCCCCCATTAAAGTTGTTGGGAAAATCCACAACCCTTAGTGTTTTATGATTTTCAGTTTGACTGGTACTCCTTGTTTCTTACAATGAACTCAAGAGGTGTTGCTTTAAAGAAAATCAAAACTAAGATTGGCATATATAACCCAGTGATCAAAAAGCATGCTACAATTTGATGAAAAGATAGAATATAATTAAGAAATTTGTTATCTTTAAGCCTAAAACTCTATGGAGTATATTCTTAGTAGGATCCAAAAGTTGGAACCTTTTGAACTAACTGAATATTCCTATTGTTTAAATGTCTTGTACACCCATTGCATTTATCTTTTCTTCTTCAGCTGTATTTCATAGTAACCAACCCTCCTTCTATGATTTGGCCCCTATTTAAAATAAGCATGTACAAATAAAAAATTAAGCTAATAAATAAGGAAGTAAAGTAGTGCTTAGAAGAAATCAATATAAACAATGACCTCTAACTCTTCTGTTAGAATTTATAGTATTACAATAAAATCATATACACCATTCAGATGTTTATAACATAAAATTTATGCATTAGCATTGGTGGTGAGCATCTTTAACACATATCACTCTAAGATAAACAGACCAGGGGTTGGTTAATATCTTTCTTCTCTATTCTTCAGGCTAAGGCATTCGTAGACAAGTGTTATTTGTTCTTTCAAACAAACAAGATTAAATGAGAAAACCAAACAATGAAGAGAACCCAGCGCAGAGCCAGGTATGTCATTAGCTCTCAGTAAATGTGTTTTCCTTCTTCTTTATGTTGTACACTGTGTCACACCAATCTAATGGCTCATGTCTAGCTAACTATCTAAATGTTGTGTTACTTATCACCATTGCCAGAAGGAGCATAGTAGTTCCTAAGTTCTGTGATTAGGGACTGTGTGTGCAATAGTGGAAAAATGACAGTGTGAAGTCAAATGAGGTAAGTTTGTTTTTATTTGATGCTTTAAATAAAAATAATATGTTTATATTGCTAAATCTTGACATTTTCATATTTCAGGGTTTTGTTTGTATGTATGTTTTCTTTTTTAGACAGAGTCTTGCTCTGTCACCCAGACTAGAGTGCAGTGGTGCAATCTCAATTCACTTCAACCTCCATCTCCCAGGTTCTTTTCACGCCTCAGCCTCCTAAGTAGCTGAGATTACAGGCATGTGCCACCACACCTGGCTGATTTTTGCAATTTTTACTGGAGACAGAGTTTCACCATGTTGGCCAGGTTGGTTTCGAACTCAGGACTTCAGGTGACTGCCTGCCTCAACTTCCCCAAGTGTTGGGATTACAGGTGTGAGCCACCGCACCCAGCCAGTTTTAAACATTCTCTATTGACTTTCCCTAACAAAGAAAAAGGCCTCGTTTTCTCTCACACTACCTCCATCCCTACCCACTCATGAAGGTTTCTCATCTTTTTATACTGTTATACTGTTGGTTATATCATTGTCAGTGTTCCTATGACTGTAAATTCCTTTCGTAGCCGAGATGTGGAGTATCCCATGCTAACTTTTATTTCCTTATACATTTATTTTTCCTATGATTAATTGTAGTCTTCTTTGTTGTTAGTTGATTAAAAAAAATTAATCCGATCTTCACTCACTCCATTCATCATCTAAATCTTCTCTCAAGATATTTAGATGTTTCAGGTACTTAATGATTTCTCCTTTTTATGAAAATATAGGAATGGAAGAACATTCTGACCGGCTTGTAGGTGGAGTTACTGTCCTACTCCTGCATAGCTAACAGCCTGCAGGCTCCCTTCCCCTCTCTTCCGAGCTGAATCCTTAGTTTCTTGTATCTCACACCTTTCTCTTTCTTGGCTTTATTTTGGTGGAGCATATATTCCAGTTGGTTTCTAAGAAACTATTTTTTTAAGGTAAATTTTTGAGAGCTTACATGTGAAAATGCCTGCATTTTACCTTTACATTTGATTCACAGTTTGACTGACTATTCTGAGCTAGAAATCATTTTTCTTAAGAATGGGGAAGGCATTGCTCCCATGCCTTGTAATTATCAGTGTTGCTTTTGACAATTCTAAATCAACTCTGATCTCTGATTTTTGTGTCTACTAATTTTCCCTCCTCTTGAAGTCTGTAGGGTCTTCTGTGGGGCCTTTTCTCTATCCCAGAATTGAGAAATGTTGTGATGATATGCCTTGCGATGGTTGCATTTTCCTTTCTTTTTTCTTTTGCTGGGTACCAAATGGACTTTTAAAACCTACTAACACATTTACTTCCTTCCTTTTTTCCTTATTCTTACAAAAAGTATTTATTGAGTTTCTACTATAGGCAACGTATTAGCCTAGGTACTGAAAATGCATAAGAAAATGAAATCACAACTCTTCTGGAACTGACATGCTATTAGTACTTTCAGTTCTGAGATATTATAGTGAATTATCCTCTTTATAACTTCCTACCTGAGGCTGTTTGGACTGATATAACGAAATACCTTAAATTAGGTGGCTTCTAAACAACAGAACTTGTTTCTCACAGTTCTGGAGGTTGGAGAGTCCCAGATCAAGGAGCCAGCAGGTTCGACGTCAGATGAGCGCCAACTTGCTGGTTTATAGATGACACCGTTTTGCTGAGTCCTCGTGTGGTGAAAGGTGCTATGATATGCCCATCACAAGGCATATCATCACAACATTTCTCAATTCTGGGATAGAGAAAAGGCCCCACAGAAGACCCTACAGACTTCAAGAGGAGGGAAAATTAGTAAACACAAAAATCAGAGATCAGAGTTGATTTAGAATTGTCAAAAGCAACACTGATAATTACAAGGCAAGGGAGCAATGCCTTCAACATTCTTAAGAAAAATGATTTCTAGCTCAGAATAGTCAGTCAAACTGTCAATCAAATATAAAGGTAAAATGCAGGCATTTTCAGATGTAAGTTCTCAAAAATTTACCTTAATTAGCCCTTCTAAAAGAGGTCCAAGAGAGTCTCCTAGCACCTTTCACCACACGAGGACTCAGCAAAACGGTGTCATCTATAAACCAGCAAGTTGGCGCTCATCTGACATCGAACCTGCTGGCTCCTTGATCTGGGACTCTCCAACCTCCAAAACTGTGAGAAATAAGTTCTGTTATTTATAAGCCACCTAATTAAAGGTATTTTGCTACAGCATTCACCTTTCACCACATGAGGGCTCTGCCCTCATGACCTAATCACCTCCAAAAGGCCCCACCTCCTAATACCATCACCTTGGGAATTCGAATTTCAACATATGAGTTTTAAAGGACACAGGCATTCAGACCACAGCACTTCCTCCCCTCTATTGTCTCTGTTAAGATGAGATGGTCTCTAAGATCATGTCAGATTTTAGAACAGGAAAGGATCAGAAGAATACATCAATGACAAGCCTCCAGAGGCTGAAGATGTACTAAAGATCATTAATATCAAATCACCAATAAGGCCAGTTGATATGTAAAGCTTTTAAGTGACTTTTCCATTGTCACTCTGCAGGTTAGTCTTAATGTCCTCTATTAACTTTTTCTATTTTATCTTTTATAGGCTGGAAATTATTAAATTTGAAATAATAATTGATCTTTTTTTGCCTTGTGTTTTGTTCTTTTGAAAAGAATTTAATGAAGTCCATTCCTGTCTTAAGCTCATTTCCCCAGGAGAGTCAAATCTTATGATAAAACTTACTTTCGTTCTTAAACAAATAAACAAACATCCCAAAAAGAAATCCCTATTCTCTGATGGCTAGGATTTGTATTCCAGAAGATTGCCTCTAAAGAATATCAAGACTTTTTTAATCAGTTAAGTTCTTTCTTATTAATTGAAAAATAAGTAAGACTTTGTTGCAAAAATTATTACTCTTTGCCCATTGGTGTCCTAGCATAGAGCTGTTTCTGTTGTAATTCACTCAGCCCAAGAGACTTCATATCACTTATTCATGAAATGAGAATGCCATTTGTTAACTGCATGTTCATTGATAGATTAAACTTAATGGCTTATCTTATGTACCTCTTGTATTTTTCAGAATTCCGAGCCCATGCTGTACAACTAATAAGTAATGCTTAAACTCTTATATAAGTGAATTACTTTCTTCCTATAACTTTCTTAGATATGTATTCATTGAAAAGTTGTGAGCTTACTCCCTATACTCAAATATATATACAGTCATATACTTGAGTTAAGGAACACAACTCATATACAAAATTTCTTATAGGGAAGAAAAGAATAAATGAATTTATATCAATTATTTTCTAGTGTAGCCTCTAAAACCCAATTTTAATTTTCTCATGTATGAATTGTGAGGTCTTAACCTCATTATTTTTTATTGGAATCTTAGTGACTTTTAGTGATTTATATGAATTACACATATTGGTGTTTTTAACTTTTTGTCTAAAATATTTGTCACTTTTTTTATTTTCTGTATTTTGTATTTTGTTATTTACTTCTTAATTAATTTGACCCAGGACAGGTAGAGTGACTCATGACTGTAATCCCAACACTCTGGGAGTCCGAGGCAGATGGATCACCTGAGTCAGGAGTTCAAGACAAGCCTGGCCAACACGGTGAAACCCTGTCTCTACTAAAAAAACAAAACAAAACAAAAAAACAAACAACAAAAAAAATAAGCTAGGTGTGGGGACAGATGCCTGTAATCCCAGCTTCTCGGGAGGCTGAGGCAGGAGAATCGCTTGAACCTGGGAGGTGGAGGTTGCAGTGAGCCAAGATCACACCACTGCACTCCAGCCTGGGCAACAATAGCAAAACTTTGTCTCAAAAATAATAATGATAATTAATTAATTAATTAGGCCCAAAAAAGTCCAATCCATTGCTATTTTCCAATTGGTAAACTTTCCCATGCAAGGTTTTCTAAATATTCACTTTACCCCACCCAGAGATTTTTTAAAACATTCATTTGTTTCTATTTATTTATTTATTTATTTATTTATTTATTTTGAAACAAAGTCTTCTGTCGCTGGGCTGGAATGCAGTGGCGCGATCTCAGCTCACTGCAACCTCCGCCTCCCAGGTTCAAGCAATTCTCATGCCTCAGCTTCCCCAGTAGCTAGGGCTACAGGTGTGCACCACCATGCCTAGCTAATTTTTTTCTTTGTATTTTTAGTAGAGATGGGGTTTCACCACGTAACCCAGGCTAGTCTTGAACTCATGACCTCAGGTGATCTGCCTGCCTCAGCCTCCCAAAGTGCTGAGATTATAGGCGTGAGCTACTGCACCTAGCCTCAACTTGTTGTATTTTCTAGGAAGAGAATTACTTTTCTTTATTTTCAGTGGAAATACCTACATTTCTGTTATACTCCTTACTGCATTTGCCAAAAATTTCAAAGCAATGTGTAAAAAATAATCATGACACTGTTATGTGCTGCTACTTAAAGTAGGCTATTAATTTTTGTCATGCTAAAAAAAATCAACATTGAATATGAAATGTTACCGTCATTTCCCTCTATATTAGTTTCTAGTTGCTGCTGTAACAGGTTACCACAAATTTAGTGGCTCAAAACAACACAAATTTATTTTCTTAATGTCTGGAGGTCAGAATCCAAAATCAGTCTCATCAGGTTTTTAAATTAAATTTAGCATAAAGCTACCTTTTCATATATTTTAAGTTTAGGCTAAGGGTTTATCCATATCAAGTGAACTGTAATCTAACCAAATGTGTAAACAAACTTGCTCTTCTAATAGTCACCAAGTTTTGGCCAATCAGAGGCAGTCAACTGTTCAAACCATCTT